AAATATTTATATTTTAATATTAAAATACAATAATACTCATTCTCCCTATTTTATACTCGCAGTAATACTCATGCTTATATACAATCTTAAAATGCTTATTATTATTATTTGGTATTTTTCAATATTGTTGAGTGATTAATCCATTTGAGCGGGTCAGACAGAATGATCCGAGCGAGAAAGATAACAAGATTAAAAACTGACCAAATCCAAACAAAAAAATGAAAAGGGAAATTAGGGTTTTATTCTGGCAAAAATGAATTTCAAGCAAAAATTCAACAAAACAGCACAGTTCAAACTCAAGATTCCAGCATCCAACCACTAAATGCAGGTAAGAAGATAATTGATAATTGAATATCATTCCTCTTTTAACGATTTCGTACAAATTAAATGGCAGCCATCAGAATATTATAAAAATTTCAAAGACGAAGAACACCCAAGGTGAAATTTTCTGGAGAAGAGCAGATCGGGATCAGAGGGGAGGGATCCCTCCCACGGCACCTGCTCCGTCCATCTCCTTCACCATCCCCTCCGAAAACCCCTCTTTTCTAGAGAGTTACCTAAAACAAGGACCAATTTCCGAACCTTGAAGCCACTATTCCTCTCCCTGTTGATCGGCCACCAAATTCGCCTCCAGAGAAGAATCCCTTCGTCCCCGACCATTCAAGAAGATAAGGACGAAGATGGATTAAAGTCAAAATAATAATAATAATAATAATAATAATAATAATAATAATAACCGAAATTATAAGACGGTAGGGATTTTCGGTTTGTTGTTCTGGTTGGATGAGGAAGAAGATGGGCGAGAAGACGGGGAAGAAAGCCGGGGCAGAAACACAGGCAATGATTTTGGGTTGCTTGAGAAAGAAACTGGAACGGTGGTCGGTGTTATAAATGGAACCCTATATATACTGGTTTTTTTTGTAAATAAAAGGAAATATGAAGATAAAACAGGAAGAATGAGTAAAATTCATTAAACCAAAAGTAGAAGTTGCCGCGGAAGCACGAATTTGGGGCTTCCGAAAATTGCAGTAAAATGGAGAGAAGTTCAGCTTGTGAGAAGTTGAAATGTTTTTGAAAAGATGCAGTATTTGGTGTTGTAAGGGTAGGTCCGAGGTTGGGCACATCGGATGTACGACAGTAATTCTTGTATAACCAAAGTGAGGGATAAATCCAAAACTTCTCGTTTAAGCAGTGTATGACAGCGACAATAAGCATGCCCGTACCTGATTCCAATGTTTTTGCACCCGGTCCGGTGGTTGACCCGTTTTGACCACCGGGTCTGGTTTAACCGGTTGAATCGGTTCACTCAACCGGTCCAACCGGTCAACCTAAAAACACACTTTTTTCAATTTTTGACGATATGTTCGATGAGCTGTTGCAGGTTCTGACTTCTGCTGCTGCTGCTGCTCAGTGGAGGCAGGAAAAGAAGAGGAGCGGTGGAGGAGATGAGGCAGATGAGGACGCCATGATCGACGGAGGAGATGAGGAGGAGGTGCTCGGCGGAGGAGATGAGGCAAATGAAGATGCCGTGATTGACGGAGGAGATGAGGAGGAGGAGGTGCTCGACGGAGGAGATGAGGTAGATGAG